ATCCGGTTGCCATCAAAGATATGGTTCGGCGGGTACAATGGGGCAGCAATGATAGGAATGTTTCGTTGCGCTGTCCGCTGTGGAGCCGTTGCCGCTGCTGGTGGACCCATCCGATTGCCGTCAAAGGTGTGGTTCGATGGGTTCCGTGGGGCGGCAACGGTGACAAGATCTTCTTGCGCTCCCTGCTGTACAGTCGTAGCCGTTGCTGGTGGACCCATCGGATTGCCATCAAGGGTGTGGTTCGATGGGGCAGCAACAGTGGGAAGATCCCGTGGCCTAGTTGTCGTGACATCAACCCCATGGCTGACTGGCACATCTGGCTGCTGAGATTCTTCTGTTCGTCTACTCAGTCTTGGGGGGCTTGTGGCTGGCTGTGGTCTTACCTGTTCACGTTGAAACGCACTTTGGTTGTCCACGTAAGCCTGCACTCTGCTACGTCGTTTTTCGTTCTCCAGTTGTTCCCTATGGGACAAGAAGATGGGCTCCTGGAGTGTTCTCCGAAGGCCTTGTGCCCTTGCCACTTTGTCCGCCACGTCTCGTTTGCTTCTTATGAACTCAAGCTCGTCTTGAGTGGCCTTCATTTTGACCTTCCTTATATCTGCTTCTGCTTCTGCTTCAGCTTCTGCTTCAGCTTCTCTTTTAGCTGCTTCCGCGTCTGCATCAGCCTTCATTTTAGCTGCTTCCACCTCTGCATCAGCCTTCCTTTTAGCTGCTTCCACGTGTGCATCAGCCTTCCTTTTAGCTGCTTCCGCTTCTCTTTTGACTGCTTCCGCGTGTGCATCAGCCTTCCTTTTAGCTGAATCGGCCTTTCTTTTGGCCCTCATTCGAGCTTCTTCTATTTCCATCACCTGCAATTCCTTCTTCTTCAGCTGCTCTGCTTATGCCACGCGAAAAACAGCTTCAGCAGCGTTAGCATCTCTGATGGCTCGCTCATCTTGTGAAATTCGGGAAGTTTGGCTGTGGCGAGAAGATGCTTTCGAATTGCGGGAGGCACCTGTGAGGTGAGATTGTTGTGACACACTGGAATGCGCCTTGGATATGTGGCGAAAGGATGGGGCCCTTCCAGACGCGTGGGACCGTTGGGACGGTGCGTGTGAATGGCGGGAAACTTCAGACTCTGCCCTGTCAACCGGTTCATCTCTCAGGCGAGGTTCATGTTCTGGAGGGCGTTGTGGGCTCTCTAGAAGCTTCTTGCGTTCCTCGTTCAGTAACCAAAGACTTTGCATGTCGCGGTTGACTTCTGAGTCTCTTAATTGCTGCTGGATGTCCTTGAGTTGCTGTTCGGAGTCCATCCATTGTGTGAAGGCGTCTTCCTTATCTCCTTCCAGTGCGTGAGCACATTCGGTGGAGAGATCCTCTTTTTGCTCTTGGTGGAATTTGTGCCATCTCTCCCAGCTTCTTTCATGGCGCTTGTACACGGTATGCCATTTCTCCAACAGGTTTGCATGCATGGCTTCAGTTGGCTTTCTTTGTTGTCTCAGATCATAGTGACTTTGAGACGTATTTGGTCTTACTGAGGCTTGAGCTTCAGCTTCTGTGTACAGGTCAAGGGAGGCTGTTTGCGGCGCTTCTCCTTGGCCGTCTGGTTGGGGTGTCTCAACTAGGCTGGTTGGTTGAACCCCTTCATCTAGATCAATGAGCCGCTCTGCCATGGTTAGGATGGGTTCAGTGATCTTCTCAGCTATTTTGAAGCAAATTTGAAGAACTTCTCTCTTTGACCACTAGGGGTCGCTACTTGCAGATCAGCTTCAGAGGTGCTGTCTGTGGGTGGGGGTGGCTGGGAGCGTTCTCCTGTGGTTCCTAGCTATTTAGAAGCAAATTGGATGAACTTCACTTTTTGACCACTAGGGGTCGCTATCTGCAGATCAGCTTCAGGGGTGCTGTCTGTAGGTGGAGGAGCCACTGGGAGCGTTGTCCTGTGGTTCCTAGCTATTTAGAAGCAAATTGGATGAACTTCACTTTTTGACCACTAGGGGTCGCTATCTGCGTATCAGCTACCGGGGTGATCTTCTTTCGAGGTACACCCTTTGTCCACTAGAGGGCTTTCTCTGGGCGTGATTAAAGGCTCGCGTGCAGCTCCTCCTTTAACCACTAGGGGACGTCTGAAGAGAGGTCAGCCAAATTCTTCCTATTATCACGTACCTGCAAAGGCCACTGAGAGGCATGAACTCCCACCTGGTCGTTAAGTTGCAGGCTGGAACACACTGGGTATTCAGCTTGTGATAATAGGCAAGGATTGATGGCTATGCTACCTTCTTCTGTCACTCAAAACTGGAAGAAACTTGGGTCTCCAGCTTGATTGGGTGAAAGCTCTATTAGTGGTGGTATAGGCTTGATTGAATTAAATTNGTCAATTTGTGCCAATTTTCGGGAGATATCTCTAATAATGTTTGGAACATTATATTTACTCACACATTAATCGGCTATCCACTCACGTAAACTAGGGAGTGACCCTAACATTTTGAGAACATGTATTTTCTTAACAGGGATGTTATTATTTACTATTAATGTTAGTACTATTTTTACTATTATTATTATTATTATTATTATTATTATTTAATATATTGTAAAAAGTGATGGCTATTGCTGGTCTATGACCGTAATAAAGTTTATTATTATTATTATTATGAACGTGCATGTGAAGCAGGGGCTCTGAGGTCAACATTTCAGCCATAGTTTTAGTCAGTTCTTGAGACCATTTAATTTGTACTTGCCCCTTCATTGTAACATCGATGGAGCAATGTGCCACTTCTAATAATTCAAAATTTGTCTTATCATTAAAAAGACAAATTAATGGAAAGTGGTCACTATCAAGGCGCGTGTCAGAATCCAATCATATTTCATATCAAGTTATCAACTATGAAAAACTCCATCCCTGCCTTCCCTGGATTCTGTCATGGATGAAGGGAAGGGGGTGAACCAAGGGGCTTTATGGCCCTCACTTCCTTCAGGATACTTCAAAGGAACTGGATGTGGAATCACCAAAAGGACTAACAATAACAATAGGGGGTCATTAGCTTGCATGTGATCCTTCCTGAAGTTTCCTCTCGGTAGTGAGGAAAGGGGTGGGGATGAAATGCCTGAGACTGTCTCTGGGAGAAGGGGGTGATGGGGGTGGCTAAAGGGGGGACCCCTTTAAAATACTTGAGTTGGAAAGCTTTCACCCCAAGTCCTGTTTAGAACGCCTGCAACCATCTTCTCTTAATAAAGATGCCTATTGGAAGAAATATTCCAAGAGTTCTGTCTTCTTAAGATGCAAAGTGGGGTAGGTCCTTACAGCACGTTCCAATATAAAAGTAAACTATATGCTGTACAAAATTCCGAGAGATCATAATATAATCCACTACACTGGCTCCCTTAGGACGCCAGAATGTGAACTCTCCGTTTAAATCACCCCTGACAGAGCCATTAAGTAGGACTAAATCTAAACTGTCCAGCTGGTTTTTTTCCTCCTTTTTGGAAGATTGGAACCACATCAGCTTTTTTCCAATCCTCAGGTAATTCCCCGGTGCTCCAGGATTTTTTTAAAGATAGGATACAATGGTTCTGAGATAACATTTGCCAGCTCCTTCAGAACTCTGGGATGTAATACATCAGGTCCTAGTGATTTCTATTCATCAAGATCAGACAGGTGTTCTCTTACCATTTTATTTCTTATTTTATTTTTTATTTTTTATTTTAAAATTTATTTCTAATTTTTATAAGTGTCTTTTGTTTGTAAACAAACAATTGTCTTTTACAAATATGTTTTTGATAGGTTGGGCTATAGTTTCTTTTTGCATGAAGACTGATGCAAAGAATGCATCAAAGAAGATGCTTCCTTGCCATTTTCTCTTTTTAGTGGACTGACTTTTCTTTTGACTTTTTTCTTGTTATCCTCATAAGGATATCTGTCAATGACCCTTAATCAGGAATGATTTTGAAGGCTTCATAGCAGAGATACAGAATTATGGAGATAAGCTGATGTGAAGAAAAACAAACAAATTTACATAGATATTTTCTTTCAGTTGCTCAGTCCAGTTGAAAAAGGAATGCTGGATCCTTCGTTGGTAGATAGAGAAAAACCGTTTTATTATAAAATGATAATAAGATTATATTCTTAACTTACCTATTCCTGCTCCTTGGGAATGGCCAATATAATATAAAGAGTCTTGTTTTGTTTTATGTAGAATGAAATTTATTGTTGCTGGTATATCATAAACTGCCATTTCATGAAAACTGTAACACAAAAATACATAAAAATACACACTTATAACTTTGTCTCTTACTATCTCTGGGCCTTAAGCTTGAAAGTACATGAAAGTACATGAAAGTACACTGATCAAGCCTTGGCAATACAATCTGAAATATCACACACATGTTGTAATTGTCCCCATTTTAAAAAAAAAATTAATAATTCAAAGTAGATTTGCCCAGAAAAATATCTATTTGGTATTGGTGATAGTGGTTTAGCTAGACCCTGGCTGAAAGCTCTTAAGGAATTTATATTATTGTATTGTATTGTATTGTATTATGTTGTGTTGTGTTGTATTGTATTGTGTTGTGTTGAACTGTGCTGTGCTTCACTATACTACACTACGCTATATTATATTATACAGGGTATAATCAGTAGAGCTGCCCATCTCATCACAAATAACTGGGTGGTATACAACAATCAGGTAAACAACAGATATAAGCTCAATAAATATAAAACTATAAAAATACATATTAAAAATGAATACTATAAAAACAATTATACAAATCCTGGGCAGAGGGAAGATAACAGTGGAATCTTCAACATCTAAGCATGTCTCTGGTTGCCTGGGAGCTGAAGCCGGATAACATAACCATTATCAACTGATTGGATAATGTAGCTTTGAATATATTCACAGAAGGGAACTTATTAACTTCCTGGTTCAACCCCATAAGCTGAACAGAATGAGTCCTAGTGGCACAGTGGTTAGAATGCAATAATGTAGGATAACTCTGCCCACAGCCTAGAGTTTGATCCTGGCAGGCTCAAAGTTGACTCAGCTTTCCATCCTTCTGAGAGCAGTGAAATGAGGACCCAGATTGTTGGGACCAATATGCTGACATTGTAAATTGCTCAGAGAATGCTGTAAAGCACTGTGGGGTGGTATATAAGTCTAAGTGTTATTTCTACTGCTATCACTACCTTTCTAGCTTTTCTTTTGGTCCACAAGCTTAAGGTTTCTTCATGAGAACCTTAGACTTATAGTTCAAAGATTCACAACATGAGAATTAGTAGACCTATTTAACTCCTTTTTAAAAAATAAATATTCTTTCTGCCCATTACTGTTTCCTAAGTCCACCTTTCCATGTTGTTCAGTGATACCTTTTTTGACTTTAAGTCTACTTTCTTTGTAGTATATGACTCATTACAGGAAAAATACTAGAAGATTATTTTAGTTGTTGATAATATCACAAGATAATCATATACAAGAAATATATGTAACATTTTTTCCATATCTAGATATCTTGATTATCAAAACATCTTAATTTAACCACACATTTATATTCAAAAGGTTCAGTAACCCATGAGAAATAAAAATTGAAATTTGCATATCTTTTTTTCTCCCTACATTCTTCCTTCAAAATTCATATTTTTACGAAGACAACCAAAATATTTTTAATGAATACAACTAGAATGGAAATATATTTTTATGTATTTCTCCTTTGTGATATTGCTTTTTGAATAAATGCTTATTGTATCCATTTAAATTTAGTTGGTATAATATGTAAATATTTATTCTTAATTTACATTCATCCAGAACAACCTTTCCTAATAAATCAGTAGAATTGACCAAATATTTTCAACTCACTTCAGAATTTACCTGAAATTCCAGAATTCTTGCTGATAAATTGAAAACTGCTTGTGTCTTCTAGACCAAGTGGTCCCTCTCATATTTATTATCCAGACATCATAGCCAGCATCTGCTAGAAAAAATCCCAGGCTGTTGCTAGGAAGATTTGCAATCCAACATCTCCCTTCCCACAGAAAACCATGCACCAATAAAGCAATCGGTCGAGGCCCTGCAAAAGAAACCAAGAATACATGGTTTATTGTATGTTCTCTGTCAGTACAATGCAATTGGGTAGAATTCCCCAATCTTTTGGGGTTTGTGGACCAGTTGAGGGGGAAGAAAGGATGGTTCCATGCATGCAGCAGGCAAGCATCACGCAAGTGGGGATGCGTGGCCCGATTCCAAAAGGCTCAAGCCCTGGTAGTGGGCTGCAATCTGGCAGTTGGTGATCCTGGTGTGGAGACCTGGATTGAAAGGGCAAAATATAACTTGGACCTATGCACATTTGTTGAGGGCACTGCAGACCAAAGTTTTATGTTTCCAGGATTATATACCATCTGCAAAGACAGCCACAAGAACCTAGAAAAAATGCAGCTGAACTAATGTATTCTGAATAGGTTCTGTGTGCATAGCTACATACACTGTCAGTCACAGTTTGCCCTTTCAGATCCAGGTATCTATAAAACCTTAATTGTGCTACACTAATCTACCGCTGATATTTCTTTCACAATATTTGCAAATTGCCCAACTGAAAGTGAAACTGAAAGAACTTGGGAAAAAAAGTAATAAAATTGATAACAATTGAGCATATTAAATATATAATAACATAAGAGAATTGACAGAGCTATAAATTAGTTGTGTAATTGTGTAATTCCCTAAAATCATTCCTGGAGCCAAAATCATTCTGGTACCCTGTCCAACAAGCTTATCATCATCATCTTACAGCAGCAATCTGGCTACTACATTGTCTACCAGCTGCCATTTCCAAGCTGTGCTCAGAGGCAACTCAATGTACACCATAGAATTTAGTTTTTCAGATGATCATAGTTCCTTTTGCAAAGGTTTCCTGGTCCAGGTAGTGCTGTAAGTGCTCTGGTAGCTGCTGCAGGGAGAACACTCTTCACCAAGATTCACATCTGCTTTTTTTTTTCCAGTGTGAAGTAGAACTAGGAAGATGCACAAGTCATGGACCAGTTCTTTGGGATGAGCCTGATCCCATTCAAAACCAACTGCCAGGATAAAAGTTAATGGGTATTATTCTGTTTTTGGACAGGAAACTTGCTTCTATTCCAGTCTTTAACAGATAGATAACTCAGAAGAACAAACAAGATAATTGCTTTATTCTGGGAATCCTAGACAAACTTACAGTTAGTAGAGGTGCTTCCAAAATAGGTCTCAGCAATCTGTTTGTCCCACAGGTAAATTGACATTAGATTTTCCCCTCTTCTCCCAAG